GTAGACCGGTAGATAGAGACAGGTAGCTGGACAGATATAGATAGGTGGATAGATACGGTTGTATGGCATTGCAGCAGTGAACCTACGTCCAGCTACAGGCTCCTTTCTAGTGGGGCTGTAGGAGCCCTGATTATGAGGCTCCATGGCGCCTTTTTGTTTTTTGCTCTGTGTCTCTGTTTTCGGGAAGGTCCCATATGCTTATAACTTAGAATTACACAGAGTATTTGAGAGAACATCTGCCCCCAAAAAGGCTGCAACAACACCTAATGAAGCTACCTATATCCAGGCTCCACCCTAAGAGGGCCAAGTCTCTCAGCCGAGCAGAACCCTCTCGACGCCACTGTGGTAGCTGCCACCGTCGGTGCGACTGCAGGGCTGCGTAGGCTCTCGTTGGCTTAGTGGGCAGATTTCCAGAGTTCTTCCTCGAGCATCTTCAGAACAGACTGTGATCTGCTTACGTACAAGGCCCAAACAGCGGTTCTCAGCTCCATAGAACAAACTCCAGGCTTGGGGCTTCGTCCGGCTCTTCAAGCAAACTCTGACGTGCTCCGGACAACTTCTCCTTGTAAAAACGGGCGCGACAGGGGGGTTCCCCATGCCAGTTTCTAGGGAAGGAAGGTTGAAGACACCTTCCTCCCTGCAACTGAAGCCCTGAACACCCTTTTCCATGCAAGCAACGGCCAGAGTTCAAAACTTGTGGGCGACGGCTGAGCGAAAGACCGTCAGAGATCGTCAACCCTGAAGAGCCGGTTCCTATAGAAGCCTTCAGCACTGGATCTGAAGAACCCGGAACTCCAAACCCAAAGCTGGCAGGATGCATCTCGGATCGGAAAGCATCCTAGGGAGGCCGAACCAGGAATAGTGTTCTCAAAAATGGCTCAGGTGCTAGGTTCCAGGTTTTTGCCAGCCACCTCCAAGCCATATGGATGTCGCAAAAAACTCTGCAAGCCCTGCAAGAAGCTGTCATCCGAGGTTTGTAGCAAGCGCTTCGTGCCTGTGGCCGCCGGCGCTTCCCGGAACGGTTCCAGGTCCGGGGGCCGCGGTTCCTAGGAAGTGGGGTCCTTGCGGCTTGTGGGTAAACCTCTGACCTGCATGGACGTCCATGGAGTCTCATTTTTCTTTCGGGAGCGGGACTTGAGGCTCTGCTGTTGCATGAAAAACCTGGGCCAGAGAAGTCTCGGAGAGGTCTCTGCACGCTTGGAGCTCTGCAGTATCCAAATTTCCTTCGGCCGTTGAGGGGCTCAGAGCGCCCGAATCCGACCTTTAACCTTCGGTCGTCAACCCGCCTTCCGAGCACCGCACGGCACGCCGCCATGCCCCAGCAGTCCGAAGCTACACTTCTCTGGGACCTCTTCGAAGTCCCTGCCGGCTGGCCCCTGGCCACCGTCATCGACGCCTTCGCCTACTTGGCTGCTTATCATCCCATTCATTTGGACGAGACCAGAGCTCTTCAGGCGGTGAGCCGCCGGCTGGTGGAGCTGTGGGCCTCGCAGCCGGCGGAGGCTGAGGCCTGGCTCAGCCGGTGCCGGGGGCGCTTTGCGGCGGAGCTCGCAGGCGAGGCGACGAGGGCGGAGGAGCTTCAAGAGGCGTTGCACCGGCACGGGGCGGCCGAGATGGGCAAGTACGAGTGGTGCCACTGGCGCTTCTCCGAGGCGGGGCTCCTGCGAGGAGAGCCGCACGACTCAGCAGCGCAACGGGAGCAGTTGGCGTCTTGGTACCTGCAGTTTCCCCACATCCGCGACCGCTGCCGGGAGCTCGCGGAGCGGCTTGCGGCGGCCGAGAGCCAGGAGACGGCCCGGAAGCGGCAGAAGCTCGAGGAGGAGACCGCCGCGCGCCGGCGCCTCGAAGCGGAGCTCCACACATCGCAGGAGGAGGGGCGAGATCTGCGCAATCGCCTGGCCGCGGCGGAGGCAGAGGTGTGCAGCAAGACCGCGGAGCTCCAAACTGCGCAGGGCGAGAGCGCCACGTGCAAGGAGCATTGCGAAGAGCTCGCAACTCGCGCTGCAGCTGCGGAGTCAGCTGTGACAGAGATGCGGCAGGAGCTCGGGCAGTTGCAGGAAGAGCATGGCACGTGCCAGCAGCGATGCGAGGAGCTCGTGGCTCGCTTGGAGGCAGAAGCAGCTGAGCATGCCAACTCCAAGGAGCGTCTCTCACGGGCCGAAGCCGATGCTGCGGAAAGGAGGATGGAGGTGGAGCGGCTGCAAGAGGAGAGTCGCGGCTACCAGGAGCGCTGCCAGCAGGCTGAGGCGGAAGCTCGCCTTGTTCTGGCCGAGAGCAAGATGGAGCTGCAGCTCGAGAATGCAAGGCTCCAGGAGAGGTGCGAGCAGCTCCAGCAGCAGCTTGCCAAGGCAGAGGGCCAGATTCAAGTTTTGTGGGAAGAGAAGGCTACTTACAAGGAGCGCTGCCGGCAGGCGATGTCGCCGCGCACCCCTTCCATCCAAGCCAGCCACACCCAACAGGGCCCAACTCCCAGCGACGACGCAGCTTCTCGCGGTCAGGAGTCGAATCTGACCGAAGAGCTCGGGTACGTTCTGGTGGAAGATGGCGTGGCCTCCTCCTCCGCCTTGAGCTGCTCCTCTTGGTTCTCGGTGGGGCCCGACTGCTTCATGCCGGACGCCATCTTCAAGACCCGCAGCTGTGGCATCGAGCACTTCCTGAGGGGCCGTGATCTCCAGAAGGGATCGCGGGTGGTGGCCGGGGATGGCGAGACCATTGTGGAAGTTTGCGAGGCTCCGGTGGTGTGCCAAGCCAAAGGTTTCGTCCGCTTGCAGGCCGGGGCTGCGATGCTGGAGGTCACGGCAGAACATCCGGTCCAGGTCCCAGCAGCAGACGATGGCATGGATGACGGAGAGGGCCAAGGCAGCAAAGGCTACATCTACGTCGAAGCAGGAAAGCTCAAGAAGGGTGATTTGGTCATGCTCGATGCCGGCGAGCCCGCGGCCCTCACCAGCGTTGAGTCAGAATCGGGCGACTGCGAGGTGCTGAAGCTGGCCTTCAAGCCGAATCTCTCCGTGGCGGTCTTCTCTTCACCGCCCTGCATCCTCAGCAAGGGCGCCAACAGCAAGCCAGATCCCCGCCGCGGGAAGAAGTGCCGGAGCCGAGGGCAGCGAGCGAAGGTGGAGGAGAGCGCAGACGACGGAAGAGCCTCCGTGCCCAACACGGCTGGAACATCGACTGAGATACTGCTCAGGGCCCCGGCAGGTGCATCATGAAGAAAAGGATACCGGTGGATCCCTGAGGAGCCGTTCTGAGCCAGCGAATTTTTGATTCTCCGGCGATGTTGCCAGGGCGTTTAGTGCACGGGGCCGCTTAACCGCCAGTGCCTTGCGCCGCTTGAGTTGTCGTCGGAATTGCCCAGAGTGCAGCGCACGCGGTCCCGAGTTGACATCATCCAGAGCTTCGTTCCTGAAACTGTTGGTTGTAGTTGTGGTTCTATGGCATTTATATCAATACGATTGGCAGGTTGTAAGACAAGGAGGGGATGGGCAGTGTGGGCACGAAGGCTTTGCATGAATCTAGTGGCGAACAGGCTCGCAATTTTGTTCATCTTGCGCAGAAGATCGCAAGCCCCGGCCTCCAACGATTCGCGAGTTTACGAGGCAGAGAAAAAGATGCACCGCCCTTTTTTTTGTGGGGGCGCCAGCATCTGCTTGCCGCAAAGCCGCCTCCCATGGCTGAATGACCTCGGCAGGTCTGCGATGGTGTGCTTTGCAGGACAGAAGCTGCTTTTTTGTTTTCACAGGGGAGCTTTGTAGAACTTGGGGGTGGTTTCTGGCGGAGAGCGGCAAGATCCTTCTTCTGTGATGGTGTCGCAGAAACTTCTGGGGAGGTCTCTCTTCCTTCAGCCCCTGAAGGCCGGGCTGTATGTCGACTTCAGAGAGCCCGGGCATTTGGGGGCTCGGGGATGGCTGAGGCTCTGCCTCGGAGGCTTCTGGCCAGAGTTGGAGGTTCAGGTCTTGGGGATGGGTGCAGCAGTTGGGAGGCAGGGAGAGGGTGGAGCCGTTCCAAGCTGATCTAAGACCACTCTCAGCGCGCAGAAGCCCCCGAAGGCAGTTGCTCGACCGAGCCATGACTTTGACTCTGCGACAGGACCCTTTCGCTGGCTTTGTGGGGCATCCCGCTGACGGAGGCCGGGCTGCAGGTTCCTTTGCTCAGGGGGCATCTCAGAAACATCTGAGGGTTCGTGAGGGATCAAAAAGGGGGTCTGCAGAGGAGCGTCCAGTTATTCGGGCCGAGTGCGGGACCAGGTTGGCCTTGACTGTGGAGCTTGCAGGGGCACGTGCGACGTATATATGTACTTGAGAGGCGCGTTGCACGCTTGGCGCGCATCTATTCGCAGGGAGGTCGACACATGGATGTTTCAGAGGCCTGGACCTCTTCACGCCTCGAACGCGCTCGGCAGGTCTCCCTGCAATGCCGCGTGGAACGGGGGCCTTGGGGATGGAGCCGAGGACCGAGGCGAGGGTCTTCTTCTTGAGGTTTCGAGAAGGAGTAGGCTGCAAGACGGCAAGGCTTCCATTATCTTCCATTAGTTTCTGGGTCGGTATACCATCTTTGGGAGGCTGGAACTGATGCCGAGCCGCGGGCCTAAATCTAAACCCTCTAAAGTTGACTTTCTGTCTTCTCGGGATCGCCTACGGAGCCACAGTCTCACCGGGGCTCCGAGGTCAGGTCCAAACTCCCAGCCGCCATGGGCTGAAGCTCGCAGCTCTCTGCAGGTTGGGGCCCCGGGTGCCATTCCGTGGCAGTTCGGCAGTTCTGGGATGGGCGGAGATCGCTGCATTGCCTTGAAGGTGAGTAAGCTCGCAGCTCGACAGGTTGGGGCCTCGGATCTTTAGGCATCGCTGCGCCATGGTCCGTGGCAGTTCTGGGATGGGCAGAGCATGGCAAAGACATAGAGAGCGCCAGAGGCACCCATCTTCGGTTGCATGTCTCAGAAGCAGGCGGCTCCTCGTGAATCCTTGGCCGAGGCTTTGGGCTCCAGGGAGTTTGGGGGCTTCATGGTAAGGTCGGGGCTTCGGCTTCTTTGAGACGCAGCCCTGTCTTTTCGTGTGCCCAGGCCGAGGGGAGAGCCTCCAGGCGCCACCCCGCCCCGACCGCGAGGCTCGGACTCCTTGCCGCAGCCCGAGATGTTGCGGAATTCCTCCGTTCGAGGCTCTAAGACTCGAAGCCCAAAAAGTCCAAAAGCTTCCCATTCCAAAGATCGCCTCGGCTGTGCAGAACCCATAAGATGTTCCTCAATGTGCATGTATATAGAGGCCTTGATTGGAGGCAGCCTCCCGGAAGCAGGGAGTTTGCAGGCTACTGGCTACTGGCTTTTCGGAGCTTGCCTTGATGCCCTTGCAGGATCGAGGCTTCATTATTTCAGAACCTCAGGGCTGTGCAGGCCCTGACTATCAAAACTTCATGGCTGTAGAACAACCCTCCGCCGTCCTCTGCAGTCCGCCCAATCCGGATCCGATCACCTCTGCAATCTTTCTTGCGCGTGACCTTCCGAGCCCAAATCCGGGTCCCAAAGTGGAGGAAGTATTAGAGATATAAGGCCACGGTGGGCAAGGGCAAGGAGCAGAAGAATGTATTCCGGACCGCACTGACATCTTTTCGGGGCTCAGCTTCAGGCTTCTTTTGGTGGCCGTCGTGGTGTCCACCTCCGTGAGCACGCCGAGCTCTGTGCTCCGCAGGTCAGCTTTGCACTTTGCAGGAAAGGGCATGGAGTCCTGGAGGTTGCTTGAAATCTGTGATTGCAAGCTGTGTTTGGGGAAGCAGAGGCAGCTCCGAAGCGCAGTTAAAGAGTAAGCGAGTGAATCAGTGAGACGTTTCGAGGCGTGCGTGCAGAAGGGCTCAGGGAGACGACTCCGAGACTCCACCCGGGGCCTCCACGCACCGAAGTGCGCCATGCCGCAGACCAAGGCAAAATTTCTCGTTGACCTGACCGCAGTCCCTGCCGGCTGGCCCCTGGCGACCGTCATCGACGCGTTCGCCCGCTTGGCTGACTGTGGTCCGGACCGAGCTCTTCAGGCGGTGAGCCGCCGGCTGGTGGAGCTGTGGGCCTCGCAGCCGGCGGAGGCCGAGGCCTGGCTCAGCCGGTGCCGGGGGCGCTTTGCGAAGGAGCTCGCGGGCAAGGCGACGAGGCAGGAGGAGCTCGGCGAGGCGCTGCTCCGGCACGGGGCGGCCGAGTACGGCGAGTACCCTGGGTGGTGCGGCTGGCGCTTCTCCGAGGCGGGGTTCCAGCGAGAAGAGCCGTGCGGCTCAGCAGCGGAGCGGGGGCGCTGGGCGGTTGTGTACCTGCAATTTTCCCGCACCCGCACCCGCTGCCGGGAACTCGCGGAGCGGCTCGCGGCGGCCGAGAGCCAGGAGACGGCGCGGAAGCGGCAGAAGCTCGAGGAGGAGACCGAGCGCCGGCGCCTCGAAGCGGAGCTCCAGAAAGCGCAGGAGGAGGAGTGTCGAGAGCTCCGCAATCGCCTGGCCGCGGCGGAAGCAGAGGTGTCCGGCAAGACCGCGGAGCTCCAAGCTGCGCAGAGCGAGAGCGCCAAGTGCAAGGAGCAGTGCGAAGAGCTCGCGACTCGTGCTGCAGCTGCGGAGTCTGCCGTGGCGAAGATGCGACAGGAGCTTCTTGAAGTGCAGGCTTCCCAAGGGGAGAGCGGGCAGCCGGTCGCGAAGGCCGTGCTTCGGGACCGGTGCGAGCAGCTCCAACAGCAGCTTGCCAAAGCACAGGGACAGATGCAGGTCTGTTGGGAGGAGAAGGGCATGCAGAAGCAGCGCATCCGTGAACTGGAGCACCAGCTTTTTGAGGCGACGCAGCGGAATTCCTTTCTGCCCTCAGGTGCCACCGTGGCCCGGCAGCTAGGGGACGGTTCCGACTCTTCCGTCTTGAGCAACGCCTCTTGGTTTACGGTGAGCCGGGGCACCGTGAAGCCGCACTGCTTCATGACGGATGCCGTCTTCAAGAGGCGGAGCTACGGCGCCGACTCTTTCTTGATGGGCAGGGACCTTCAGAAAGGGTCGCAGGTGGTGGCCGGAGACGATGTAACGATCCTCGAGGTGGCCAAGACGCCGGAGATCTGCGAAGCCAGCGAGGTCGTCGAGTTGCGGGCAGGGGATGCTGTGCTGCAGGTGACCTCGGACCACCTGGTCAAAACCGGCGAGCCCGACGAGAGCGTCTACCGTGCGGCTGGCCAGTTGCAGGTGGGCGACCATGTGATGCTCGACTCGGGCGAGGCGGCAGCCTTAACGAGTGTCGCCACCCGGCGCATGGACCGCCAGGTGCTGAAGATCCAATTCGAGCCGGACCTCCCTGTGGCCGTCTTCTCCCGCCCGACCTGCATCCTAAGCTTGGGCCACAAGAGGAAGCCGCCAATTCGTCGCGGCGGAAGGGGCGCGAAGGTGCCTAGGTCGGCAGATGACGGCTTGGACAGAGCCTCCATCCCAGACACAATCAACGACTACATGGACTAGAGTGATCCGAGCATTCATGTACATTGCCAATGAAGGAACCAGAGCCAATGCCGAATGTACACATCGAATCGGGCTTTGACGATGCAGTCAAGGAGACCAGCGCACGGCAGCAATGCCTGTGCCTTCCGCTGCTTGACATGTTCCCAAAGCCGCTCGAAAGCCGCGCACGCGGCCCTACTAGTAGCTTTTGCTCTGTACGACATAACTAGATGTGTTTCTATGACCATTGTTTCTTCGGATAGAAAATGATAGAAAGCTAGTTATTGACAATTGCATGCTCATGGACGTTCAGCAGGGCGCGCAGTGCCGACAGCAGAGCAGTCATGCATCTTTCGTAGGCGCGGCTCACAGTTTTGCACCTTGGCGCGAACACCGATCGCAGGTGGCGCTTGCACAAAAGAGCGTTCTTCCGGCTCCCGCACTTGTCATGAGATCGTCTTCCCGCGTGTGGACTACAGTTCATGTGCTTCATGCTTGAAGCAGTTGTCTCCCGCGATGCAGGGTGGCTTACTGTGACTTCTCCTCGTTATGATGCGACTTCTCGACTCGAAAGCTTGAAGCCTCATCTTAGCCTCTTGACTACCAGCCCCTAATCCCAAATCTTAAACATCTCTGTCTAAACCATACCATCCCTAAACATCCCTACGTCCTGCATCCTCAGCTTCAGCAGGACTGGAGGAAGATGCGGCGGAAGGCATCTGCATGCGGGTGGTGCCGGGGGGGGGGGGGGGGGGGGNNGGGGTGGGCACGGGGTCTTTCTTTAAGGGATGCCGCAGTTTGGGATTCGAGCCTTGGTGGTTCAGGGTTCTGGCAGCTTTAGGCTTTATGGGCGTGTAGTTGTGTGTAAGGGCTAGGGTTTTTAGGCATCCCGGACTTGGCTGTTGGGATTCTGTGTGCTCAGGGTTTAACGTTTAGCCCGCACTTTCTTTGTAAGTTCATTTCCGGGCATGCGAATCCTGTGCATGTCTGTGCGAGGTGCGCTTGCAAGCTGCAGCTGAGTGGCGAAAGGGCCACGCCGGGGTACTCACTGCCCGCTTCGCTGCGCCTGTTCTCCAAAAGCTCTGCCCGACGCGACGGCCCTTATAACCGTCTATGCAGGCTCATATAGAAGGCCCTGCACAATGCAGGTCCTAGCTAAAGGCCAACCATTCAGCAATTGCTTGTGAGCCCCCGAAATCAAGTTTCATCCCTGCAGCGGAAGGACCGAATACCGCAAACACGGGACACAAACTACCCACAACTCGCCAGTCAAGTGCACGAAACCCTGTAGCATTTGAGGGGATTCGTTGCTTTTTTAAAGGGTTTTGGAGAGTCTGGCATTGCCGGGTTCCACACAACAGCATCCGAATGACCGGCAATCCCAAGATCGCAGCCCTTTCCGACAGTCGCGTAGGGCCACAGGGATTTGGCGGTCTAGTTGCCGGATAGGCTCCTTAGTAGTTTCCTTTT